GCCTGTGATTACTTACTTTCAGCATACCCTGTACTCGGCGTTGATCTGGTCACTGTCTTCCAGAGAAGCGCAACATCGCACCTGGAGGGTCGGGACTGGCGTAATTTCGAGACTGCTATGTTCTGCATAGCTCAGCTCTCAGAAGCAGTGGATGAGAACGGCCACGCCGACCAGTGTCTCGACGCCATCTTTGGCAGCGATGCCTTTGCCCGGCTCTGCGCAGGTGGGGATACTGGAATACCACTCAAGGCTCGTCAGACCCTGGTGGATTCATTCGGAAAGTACGAGTCATACTTTGAGCGTCATAGTTCATTACTTCCGGGTGTTTTGAACATCCTCTTTGAATCCCTGAATTTTGAATTGTGTGCGCAGGCGGCTTCCAGGTCTATATTGACACTTTCAAAGTCGTGTGCTCGCGTCTTGACGTCCGATCTTCCTGCATTCTTAGATCAGCTGGACCAGTTCAGAAGCAAGCCGACGGCAACTGTCTCCACCATGCCCAAGGTTTTGGAAGGAATAGCGACCATCATCCAAAGTTTGCCTAGTGACCAGGAAAAGATACAAACACTAGAGAGAATTCTCGGCTTCTTTGTTCAGGAAGCTAACACAGCACGGGAAGAAGTCACCGGTCTTGCCCATGAATCTGGCCGTCTACGTGGACACCTTGTGCTGAGCTGCATTGCGAGTATCGGAAAAGGTCTTCGCTCAGAGAGCGAGGTCATCGATATCGAGCTTACCAAGGAAGGAAACCCTTATCCTCCATCATTCTGGAACTCTGGACCAGGTGCCGAAGCCCAGCGTCTGATCATGGAGGCCATGAGACTTCTAATTGTCGGCTTTCCCGTGGACAGCAGCATTATCGAAGCAGCTTGCGACATTTTGAAAGCTGGTTACACTGAGCGGGCAGGGCTTTTTGTCTTCCCGCCCTCTATGACGGTGGACTTTATCAAGAGTTTCCCCCTCGGTATTTCCGGAACAGATGTCATCATGGCGACTGCCTCGTCATTTTTGGCATCTCACGCTCGGCATGCGATGAGCATCCGCAGCGAGGCCGAGGCTCTCATTGATCATGTAGCCCAGCTCTTCTCGTCGATGCTCCAGAACCCGGATGTATACGACCCAGAGACTGCTAATGCCGGGATTGATTTCCTCGCGCGCCTTTTACCAAAGTATTATCCGATCTTGTTTACTCCCATAAAGTCAACCCCGAGCGCAGAGTCTCCCCTCGCTGTGCTTCTTCACTTCACACTTCACGCATTGACACGACCTGAGCCACTTCCTCTTCGATCTGCTTCTGCATTCTGGGTTGCATTAATAGATCTCAGCGGCAGCTCTCCAGAAGAAATGAACATACTCGAATCAGTCCATCAAGAGTTTATTCCACGCTTGTGTTATACAATCATCCAGCAGATTGCAGGCCGGTGCGCAAGATCAGACTTGGTCTCTCTAACTGATGCTCTACGGCGCACTGTTTTCAAGAAGATGGCATTGGCGCGCCCGGCTCTGAAGGCTGCGCTTGACTCTTTGAACGCCCAGGTTACAGATGCAAATGGACAACAAGTGCCGCTCCTGTCGGCACAAGACAAGTCGCGGTTCTTGGAGTCTCTCGCCATTGCTAGAGGTGGTCAGAAACCGTCTCTCGATCTTGTGCGTTCCTTCTGGTTGAAATGCCGTGGGATGAATTTCGATTATGCCCAGTGAGGGAGCTTGCGTTGCTGGTACATGACCTGATGATTGGAGTTGATGGGTCCTGCAACTTCGGTGTTCCTTTAGATATCCATTTGCATGACATGGGCGGTGCAGTTTATTTAATCCTGATTGAACGTTTCTATTTACATTCATCTGAGCGCCATAATTCAGATTTCTTTCCAAATTATTGAGTTGTTCAGCCGTACAAAAATGAACGCTATGGTCCGATAGTTATAAGACCAACGCCTATACCCGTTCAGGTAGGATGTGACCTAATGGGTAATGTCCTAATTTCTCCAAATATTGCCTTTATGAACATCGCTGGATATATTTGGAGTCATCTTTTAAATCTTGCACCCTGAAAGATATTACTGTCGAACATTTGATACTACCAAGTCAAGAATTCAAGAGCTAACAAATAGAAGTATAGTCATTAGATCTATACCTATTGAAGAAATAATAACCCCCACTTATGACCCACCCTTATGTGAAATGTCCACGACTACATCTCCAATTGCTTCGACAGTTGGGCCTTCATATACGGTTATACGGAGTGCTTCTAGATTCTATACTCGGTGTGCAATCATTATCTTCTACCGAGAAGAAATATGCCAAAACTTTTGAAAAATCTGAAAAGACATCGAAGTGGAATTTGAGATATAACGTTCGTGATATTATCTCGAGCTAACTGAATATTCAAACCTTGGATTATCCAAGTCTTGCACCGTTAAGCACAGGAGCCACATACGCAGCCATCCCTGTATATACATTTTGAACATACACAAAAGTTGAGTGGCAGAACAGACAATAACGACATTGTTTTTCTGCGAATGAGAGCACAAATAAAATACCTCCCAAGGACTCTTTCCCGTAATTCCCCGTTGACAGGCCCGTCGGAGAATACGGAGACTACGGAGTAGGGGCACCATGAGGATCACAGCCGAAGCCCCGATTGGCTGTTTTCCTTAGACTAACACCAGACTTTGTCGGCACGAATCTCCCCGGACTCTGACCCGTCGGTGCGGGTAGCCTATCAGGGGAGTGTTTAATCTATGTGCACATCGTATTGCGAATCTTTCAAATGTTCTTGTCAATAAGTATTGTCTCATTCTAAGGTTGAAGTCCCGTGTAACAGAGTATGCTAGCTTTTTGTCGCAGAAGATAAGAAGAGAAATGTATCAAATTGTATAATGTATATGTCACGTCAGACATCTACTCATGGCTCATGTACAATAAATTTTTAGGATACAATGATCAAGGCTGAAAACAAACAGAAAAGCATATCTACCAACCACGGCCAGCCAACTTATCAGCCTCGGGCAAGTGCTTCACATTGATACCAACCATAGCCTCACCAAGACCCTCACTGACCTCAGCAAGCATCTTGGGGTCCTTGAAGTGAGTAACAGCCTGGACAATAGCGCGGGCACGCTTCCTAGCATCACCAGACTTGAAGATACCGGAGCCAACAAAGACACCATCGCAGCCCAGCTGCATCATAAGCGCCGCATCGGCAGGGGTGGCAACACCACCCGCGGCGAAGTTAACAACAGGTAGACGGCCGAGCTCAGCAGCCTGACGAACAAGCTCGTAAGGAGCCTCGATCTCACGGGCGAACGCGCGCAGCTCAGGCTCGGGGTCCTGGCTAGCGAGGAGGATACCACGGGCACGGGCGATCTGCGCATTGACAGTGCGCATGTGCTTAACGGCCTCGACGACATCACCGGTACCAGCCTCACCCTTGGTGCGGATCATAGCGGCGCCTTCAGAGATGCGGCGCAGGGCCTCGCCGAGGTTGCGACAACCGCAGACGAAGGGAACCTTGTAGCCGTGCTTGGTGACGTGGTAGACATCGTCGGCGGGGGTGAGGACCTCGGATTCGTCAATGTAGTCAACGCCAATGGCTTCCAGGATCTGTAGACCAGTGATTGTTAGTGATATTGTTGCTTGTTTTTGTTTGCCTCCTCCGCCACCGGGAGATCCCCATTTTCCCCCATCTAACGGTCTACCCCTCCCCCGCATGGAGATAATTGTCACATACCTGGCATTCAACGAAATGTCCGATGCGGGCCTTGGCCATGACGGGAATAGTCACGGCTTCCATGATCTCCTTGATCATACCGGGGTCGGACATGCGCGCGACGCCACCCTCAACGCGGATATCAGCGGGAACACGCTCGAGGGCCATGACGGCAGCAGCACCGGCTTCTTCAGCGATGCGGGCCTGGTGAACGCTTCTGTTAGTTTTCTATGCTGAACAGCATCAATTCCTTGTTAAATGCATCATACCTGCTCGGCGTTCACGACATCCATAATAACGCCACCCTTCAGCATCTGGGCGAGACCGGCCTTGACAGTGAAGTCATTGCCAGTGGTTCCGTTTGGAGCAGCCATTGTGAATTATGTGATAGCTAAAAGAAAGAGAATATGAACAAAAGGGAATTGAAGTGAATAAGAATAAAAAGTAAAGAGAGAAGTGCCAGTGAGTCAGTAAGAAATACACTTTTCCCCAAAGTTCTTTGCCTCAGGCCACACCCACACCCCTCGCCCGAAGATGGACTGTTTCCGTTTCCCGAGGGGACCCATCCGGTGAAGAACAGACCGCCTGCTGTCTAGGTATTGCCTCGGAAGATTTCTCTTAGTCACGTTGTTACATTGGCTTGGCCCTTTGGCCTGGGACCTTGGCCTGGGACCTTGGCATTAATATGACTGCCTAATCCAGTAGGTGAGATTAACGATTTCTCATGGCAGGTGGGGAGGCAATTGAGGCAGTTCGAGGCAATTAGATTGATGTACAGGGTCCATTTCCAAGTTTGGAAGTGACTCATCAACATTAAACTTTCTCCTATTTTGGTAGGAGAGTTCCAAGATTGCTTTAAGCATAACTGGCTATGTTGCACGTATATCCTTGAAAGCTATATAGTCCCGAGTTTGCACCTGCATATAATTTTTGTTATACATCGTACACATCCGATTGAGGGTCTATGTATATGCTACGTTGCTACATGTCCTAATCTGGCATATTACGTGTTCTAGATGGCTATACATATCCCAATAGTCACAATACACATAGGATATGATAATACGATAATCATTGATCTAACAAGTTAAATTAGACTCTAAAATAAGAAAAACAACCCCCAAACTTCAAAAAAAAGAGCCTCAATCCTTCAGGATCCATCCATGGATGAGCTCATATATGACGTCACCCTATATCCCTTATCGGCATCCAAGCTCCATCTCCAACAAACCCCTCCAGATCCGACTCTCCAACTCCTTCAATTGCAAGAGAGACTAGCAAAACAAACACAATGTCTTTCAGATTATTCACCCACCAACCTGCCACCCTCCTCCGCCTGGGTCTAGGCGTTGGACTCGGTCTCTCCGCCGCAACCATGCACCCCTTGTCACCCTTCCGCGCCGCCCCAATGAAATGCGAGTACGCCGTACCCCAGCGAACCGGCTTCAGCAATGATGCAGGGTGGGCTGTTAACCCCGCTGAATCTGCGGGACAGAAGCAGAGCCCTCGGCGGAATGGCCTGTTGAACGCGGAGACTATGCGCCAAGTTAGTTTGGGGAGTGTGTTGGGGCTTGTGGCTGGTGTGGGATTGAGGGCGTTTTCGAAAGCTTTGGTTGTTATTTTGGGTATGGGAGTTGTTCTTATTGAGGTATGTATAAGCTTCTCCCAGGGACATGGAATTTCCGTTGGTTTTGTTTGGTATTTCGTTGTCCGAGGTTACGGGTTGGATACATATACTTGTGACGGTACGCTGATGCTTCTTCTTGTAGTACGCTGCGTCCAAAGGATACAATATTCTTCCGATCAACCGGATTCAAAAATACGTTAAGCATGTTGACTTGCGTCGCGCTATGAGTGAAAAACGGCCGTTCAAGATGAGTTTCGGGGCTGTGATGGCGATGGCGGCGTTTGCGAATTTCTAGGCTTTACTTTGGTTAGACGGAGATCTAGCGCTACTTGTACATACTCTCGAACAATGCCAAGTTAGATTTCGCCAATTGACACGCAATCTGGGCCGTTGCGTACCTCGATTAAAATTGGTACAATGTTCATTCGTACAGGGGTATCATGAGTCTTGATCTATTCCACACCAAATACAAGGGGGAATCTACGCTACCCCAGCACCAGGTCCTCCAGCACGCCCTCCATTTCATCGCGGGACAGTGGCACACCCAGTATCTCCATGCCACTCGCATCCATGCGCGAAGTGATCATCTGGTGGTCGTGGAACTCCTTCAGCAGGGTACGGAACATCATCTCCGAAGAAGCGACAAACTCTTCCGTTGCCTTCTGGTAAAGCAGACGGAATTCGATGCCAGTTTCATCGCCAGCCTTGCCACCGCCCTCTGCCGTACCTTCGTCGTCTGACTGGTGGCCGTCGTCCAATAAAGTGATCAGTTCTGTCAGCAGGAGGCGGTACAGGTTGCGTGCATTCTCGGGAAGACTCTTGAGCACAAAGCCCACGCCATCTTTCCCGCCGATGCGGCGGCCCTTGCGCCCAAGGAGAGCGTTGACCTCTTCGACAACATCGGCCTCCGCTGAGAACGGTAGGAAGGTTGTACAGTCATGGAAGACGAAATTGAGCTGATCACGCAGACTGATATCCCACATGACCGGGAAGTTGGGAGTATCGGCTGTGACTAGGAGACGGATGAGCGGCGTTGCAGCCATACGGGCGAGGAGCGCTTGGTTGGCCGCGCGGCGGAGAGGCGGGGCATCGATGGAGTTGATCAAAACGGTGACCGGCTCTTCGTGCGACTTGAGCGCAGATTGTAGCAGCTCAAGAACCTCGGTTGGCTGTGCACCAAGCTTGGATGGTGCATCGTCACCCATTACGGCTGTGACGATCGTGGCGAATATTGATCGGATGGAGATGCCTGGAGTGTAACCATTGACCATTACAATAGTAGGAGTCGTAGTGGCTGATAAGCGGTGGTTGTAAATCCACTCGGCGAATTCGTCCATTAGCTTGCGCTTGGAGCCGTAGCCAAATAGGCAGATATTGAACCCTTCATCGAACTCGAATGCCCACTGCGGGAAAGATCGATGGTGCAAGAATTGCAAGTATTCCTTCTCTTCCTTACACGGATCTTCATATTGTCCAAGCTTCTCGAAATATTCCTCATGCGTTAACAGCGGTACTTTGTTGAGAGTGGCATTTGAGGTCCTGACAGGACCGGCGCGGTTCTGGAAGAAGTATCGTTCGTGTGCAGGGAGCTCGCCTTCCGGTGTCGGGGAGCGCTTATTTCTCGCACCTTTCGGTCGTCCTGCACGGCGCTTTGGTTGTTTTACTCCCTTTTCAGTGGCCTCTTCTGCGCCTTCAGGTTCTATGCTCTCCGCCAGAGACTGACCCGCTTTCTCCGTATCTGGGTCATCTCCATGTAAGATTTCTTCCGCTAGTTGTTCTGACCCATCCCAAGCTGCATCTTCGTCCTGCTCAAATAACACCCGTGCGCTCTTCTTCCGCGCAGACCGATCTGCATTCTTAACTCGAGATGGAGTGGCTGCGACTGCGGACTTGGGCTTGGTCGGCGTAGCGAACAAGCCACGAGCCTTGGATTTGTGGTTGGGCGTTTTCAGCCCAGACTGTTGTAATGGCGTCGCGGATACACCATTGGCCTTTTTGGGTGTGGATTGACCCCGTTCTGATGGGGGAAGCTCGTACGAGGCATCGCCGTTCGGGGGTGCGGCGTTGGGCGCGTGGCCGTTCAAGGCGCCATTGGATTGTTCAAGGGCTGTACGTCGTCTCTTAGGTGTTGAAACAGGCGGCTGATCGCCGGCGTCTGAGAGCTTACGCTTCATAACGGTCTAGTCAGATTACAGTCACGTAGACGCGAAAGGGAAAGAAGCAACAGTACCATCAGATCCGGAGAATGTGCAAAGGGTCGGGAAGCAAGGGGCTTCCAAGGTTGGTAAATTCAAGATCTGGCAATTTCAGGAAACTGCAGGTCTGACACTGGGAATGTAAGTACTGGCTTAATATTGGATCCTGAGTTGAAGGAAATAAATTGGAGCGGATGGGTTTCTCCGACTCCGCGTCTCCAGGTATAACGGCGATTATCGACTAGACTGCCTTGGATTCAACACAGTTGTGGATATTTTACCATTATCCCGCATCATTTGTGGTCTTTCTAGTTATGGATTTATATGATCCTATTTTTACTCCAGAGGGCTGGACTAAAAAAGTCGCGCAAGTCATGTGAAAAAAAATTCACAGATAAGACTAAATTCCAATTTTCTATTCCAATTCTCCATACAAAGTAGTACTCAACAAGTAAGAAGCCAAATCATCAAATTCCCAGCAAGATACCTCAATTGGTGGACTCATACCGCGCGATTAGTTGCCGAGTGGGGAGCTCCCGAGACCGGTGCTGTTTTTTCCCTTGACTCACGCGATTTGACTCACAAGATCACCACTTATAAAAAGCTGGCATATAGTCTAGCAATTGTCCTAGACAAGACTCACATATGGTTCCAGCAACTCAATCCGCCAGCATGGCCACCTCGCTCGCCCGCATGCTCAAGGGCCAAGTCCGATGCTACTCCGCACCGCTGGACATGGCCATTCCGGCCTCCAAACAGCGCTACATCCCCACGACCGGCACCTACCCCAAGGGCTTCCAGGTATCTGGTACCCATGTGGGCGTCAAGGCCTCCAACACGCGCTTCCCAGATCTGGCATTGATTGCCTCCGATACGCCATGCTCGGCCGCCGCTGTGTTCACAACCAACAAGTTCCAGGCTGCGCCAGTGCAAGTCAGCAGGAAGACCTTGCAAAGCCGCAAAGGTAATGGTATCCGCGCTGTCGTTATCAACTCGGGCTGCGCCAATGCCGTCACCGGAAAGGGCGGCCTAGAGGACGCTGTGCAGATGGGAAGAAAAGTAGATGAGTGCAGCGGTGTCGAGAACGACAGCTCGCTCGTGATGAGCACCGGTGTTATTGGACAGCGGTAGGTCATTCCTACTCAATTGGATAACCCACCCAAGGAATCCCCAACTAATCAAACAAACCACTAGCCTCCCGATCTCCAAGATCCTCGACCGCATCCCAACAGCGCACTCAACCCTCGCCTCCACACACGATGCCTGGCTCACCACAGCCCGCGCAATCTGCACAACAGACACCTTCCCCAAGCTCATCTCGCGCACCTTCACCCTCCCCTCCTCGCCAGACCGCACCTATAGCCTCGCAGGCATGACCAAAGGCGCCGGCATGATCCACCCGAACATGGCCACGCTGCTCGGTGTTCTTTGCACTGACGCAGCGGTTGAGCCCGCGGCACTGCAATCGATCCTGAAGCACGCCGTGTCGCGATCCTTCAACTCGATCTCCATTGACGGTGACACCAGCACGAACGACACAATCGCGGTATTGGCGAACGGCGCCGCAGGCGGCGAGACTGTGCGCGCGCCGGCCACATCTGCCAGTGCCGACTACACTGCGCTGCAAGGCATTGTGACTGATTTCGCGCAGGAGTTGTCGCAGCTCGTTGTGCGGGACGGCGAGGGCGCTACTAAGTTTGTTACGGTGCGCGTGCGCAACTCGCCCGATTATGAGTCTGGACGACAGATTGCTTCAACTATTGCACGCTCGCCGCTGGTTAAGACTGCTCTGTATGGCAAGGATGCCAACTGGGGCCGAATTCTTTGTGCGGTGGGTTACACGCAGGGTGTTGCTGAGGGAACTATTGTTCCTGAGCGGACTTCTGTCAGCTTCCGTCCGGTCGATGGGAGTGAGGTTTTGAAGCTGTTGGTCAATGGTGAGCCTGAGGCTGTTGATGAGAAGCGCGCTGCTGCTATTCTGCAAAATGAGGATCTCGAGATCGAGGTTGATCTTGGTGGTGGTGAACAGGGAGCTGCTGGGTGTGGTGGTGAGGATGCTGTTTACTGGTTCTGTGACTTCAGTCACGAGTATGTGACTATCAACGGTGATTACCGCACTTAAAAAGAGATGTATCTTAGCGGTATTGGAAATTGATGAATCGAGGAAGTTATTTCGGGATGCAAGGCCTTTGAGGGAGAGAATGCTTTAGTTATACCAAGGGGCCGTTAAAATAAATATTAATATGAACGAGGTTGAGGATCATGGCAAGTTGAATATATGATTTTGGTTTTCTAGACACATATGGTTACAAGACCCTAAACAGGGCACTTTTCATCGCTGAGCACCGTCTATGGAGTAAGATTAGACCCATATGCCTTTACACATTGACGACATGGGACAATAACACATTGTGTCGACGTGCAGAGGCTCCCGGGGAGAAGACCTCGGATGTTCATCGGCAGGTTAATCAACCTGCACAACTGAATATCAAGCGGTATGGTTCCAATTCAACCAAACAGACAGCGCCGATCCATTCACCCAAAAAGTATAAAGAAGAGCGGACAATAAAAAAAAGACAGAAAAGTAAACAGAGAGGTTGCAAAGGACCGGTGTGATCCTATGTCATGCTACTCGTGAAGATACGGGCAGTCTCGTTTAGCTGCCGGGGACGAGGCCCTTGAGGCCAGCGCCAATGTCACCCTCACGGGCGGCAATTTCGAAGTAACCGTAGATGATGCTGTATTGAGCTGTTAGCTGAGATGAACACAATTGAGAAATCAAGGGAACCACTTACGTAACGGCAAGAAGAATACCAGTACCGCTGCCGAGAGCACCCATAAGGTCGGAGGCGACGGACAGACCACCAATGCAGGCACCACCGAAAGCAGCGGCAGTAGGGATAACGCGCTTCAGCTCCTTGTACATGCTCTGCTCACGGTGACCAGACATGACGAGACCCTGATCCTTGAGCTGCTTGGCAACGTCACGGGGAGCGGAGCCGGAAACCTCAATCCAGGTCTTGGAGAAGAGAGCGCAGGCAACAAGCATGAAGGTGATGTAGACGGCGGTGTGGATGGGGTCAAGAAGGGCCTCCTTGAA